AATAGCGTTTCAAAGAGCAAATAATGACTGTATTAACAAAAATTGCGTATTCATTTCTGCTATCTTGCATAATGCCGACATTTAACCACATTATCTAACAATCAATGTTCTTTCAAATTCCAATCGTCTATGCGGTCTCTTCAGCTATTTTGGTTTTTATCAGCCGCTCATGGTAAGACCGTAAGACTTCAATTTTTATTATTAAAGCATATATAAGCTTATTTGATCAACTTGGGACTGTGCAAAATAGTTGAGTTTAGAACGAGTATTCTATCAAAATTCGATTAATGTAAAACATAAAACAATTTTCCGGGTTATGTTTGTGAATCATTTTCTCAGCAGTCGAAGATCTTACTTTTCAGTTCTCCTTTCTGAAAATAGTGAAGAAATCGGTGAGGAAATCGCAAAAGTCCTGCCAAACCCAAATGTTCTAATAGGCGGGCTTTTAAAAAATATACGGACGATGATGAACTTCGAAGATGGAATTGGAGGAGATGCAGAAATGAAAGGCTGGAATTCTTTGACAGATGACGGAAAGGTAAGTGAAGAACTAATCATTGCTGGAAATCTTCAGATGAGCTGAATATTTAATAAATTATGGTTGCGATATTCGTGTTTCTAAATTTTGCTGCTGTTAATCGAATTTTGCTTACTAGAAAAATTGAAAGAGAGTATGATGCGGAGTAATGGCAGAAATTTACAAAGCACACACTTTCGAAATTCAATTAGAACATTTTTGTTGCCTAATAGGAGATAATTTGAAGCAAAAAGTGAAAAAAAAACTATAATTAAGTGATATTATTAGTGAAAGGATATATAAAGATATGAAAGTGTTCAGGACACGTCTCCCAGGCAAGCGCCCTATACGATACTAACGGATATAAAGATGAATATCGAAAGTGAACAAGTAAGTGTTAACTTCGAAATTACGTTTTGAGATCATACTCTTCACAATAACAATAATATTTCCAAAAACGCGGAAATAGAAGGCAATTGGCAGATTAATGACTTTTCAACAATTTTGATGGTTAACATGACGGATTTCTGGCTGAACTTTCTATATGTAAATCAAAAGCGTAGATAGTTTGTGTCGCAAAAGCATAAATTAGCCAAGGTTATATATCACCTAACTTAAAATATAGAGAATAGAAATAAGGATGTAAAGATAGAACGGTATATTTTTGCGCGATCATAAAAAGAACTACTCGCCTGCATTCGCCCGTCTGCAAAAGGGTGGGTTTATTTAGGAAAACTATTGTTAAAATTAAACCTCGAGTATTTTTTGTACATGCAAGTAAATTCTGACATTTTTATAGGACATAGAAGATGAGGAACCAACTACGACTATGGATGATAAGGAAGGAGAAGAGGTGGAAACTAAGGATGATAAGGAAGGAGAGGAGGCAACTAAGGATGATGAAGGAGAGGAGGCGGAAACGAAGGATGAAAAGGAAGAAGAGGAGGTACCTTATTGAAAAAGAGCATGGACTATAGGTAGAGGCAAAAAATGTTCTCAGCCATTTCGGAAACCATGGCGGGTTCGTTACGTCAGAAAGGACAACAGCGAAGTGG